TTTTGTCTCCTGCCAACATTCCTCTGCACTTTATTTCCCTTCAAACTTCACTCCTATCATGCTCCACAGCCACAAACCTCTTAAGTCTCCTACATACTCTGCTCACTCCACTGACTCTCACCAACTCACCTTCGGTAGCAGCCTGCATTCCCTCACACTGAAATCTCTCCGTCGCAACAAACAAGTATGTTTGTTCTATGTCCAATTCAGCCTATTGCTATATTGTTCCTGTATAAATGGGCCCCACTGTTCTAGAATTTCCCCAACTTTATCAGTAACATATTCAATCCCGTATGAACTATGCTGTCTGTAGCACCGGTATCACACCACTTACAGCGCCACTGGACCAGTTCTAGGTTCTAAGGAGTGGGGAGCAAAAATAATTCACCAGAGACCGTTGATTTAAATACAAAAAGCTAGCAATTTACTGAATACAAACACACATGGAATATGCAAAAACAAAATGGAAAAATATACCCCGCAGGTCTCTAGTATTGAGATAGATGTAATCAGTGAAAAGGTATTTCACTCTTTTTTCTTGTTCTTTAGTTCGTCTAAGTTATTTTTGTCAGACTAATCTAAATTAGACCGGTCTTTTCCTGGATATTACCTATTTTAGAATCTCTATCTTTTTTTCCTGAGTTAACTCTTTCTTCCTTTCTTTCACAGGTAAGAAAATACCTTCAATTTACGCAATCAAATCAAAATGAACCATAAACATTTCGTATCACATTCAAACATAGGAACTCAATATGAAAATAAAAGTATGAACCTTAAACTCAAGTTCAAGTCCAAAAGTGAATTCAATTATTCAGTTCGGTTCCGTCCAAAAATAATAATTCAAACAGTTTCCAATCCAGTTCAAAACAAATTCCTGATACTCCTACCACTCTGGCAGCGAGTCACCGCGTGCAGGAGGTTTCCTCACTGATGCGATGAAAAAGACGAGTTAAAAGTCTGGGTCTGGCTCGCCATCTTGAATCCCGTCTGTGCATATGCACGTCCGCACACTGCAGCTTCATATCAAGCAAAGAAACCTGACCAAAACCGGTGTGGATTAGTTCTCATAAAATCCCCGTCAGTTCCCGAACAGGTAAGTTATGTTTTTTCAACTGCAAAATCAACTTTTTCACTCTTTTCTTTGCTTATTGAACACAGTTCATTCCCTCCGATCTCTCTCACGCCACTGAAGTACTGCGTCCCGCGTCACTAGTTCCTTAAGGGGGCAGTGCCATGAATTTTCTGTCAGCATACTTTTAACCTTAAACATTAAATTGCTGTATTAACATTAGTCACATTTTTTTTTTTTTAACTCTGATGAATTAACTTACATTAAATGAATCACTTAGCTTTCAAATTTATTTATGCAGCTTTTAAACTATTTATTCTTATTTATGTCATATTTTACCATGGGTTACATGTCCCCTATTGAACAACAAATTTTGTCGCAGAAGGCTGTACTGTCCACTGAGCACCTCTACGCCCCCCTCTG